TGTTGTAAATAATTCTTTTTGTCGTTTATTTCACACAACGCCGTCGTCGCGGCCATCGAAGGGAACGAGGAACGTCGCGTTTATTTTTAACCTTTGTTCCATCGTGGCGTTGCTATGTACGACAATAATAATATACACTGAATATTTCCATGCAATAGTTACTCTGTAAAAGGATTCCCGAGTAGACTTTATAACTTCCAGTCGTTAAATATTTTGCGCTACAAAGAGGAAAGGTCGTATAACCGCGACAGTGAACAGGAGATCAGTAACGCGATAAGTGATGCTATATTTTAAGAATTTACTGCTGCGCGAGTACAGTTACTATATCATAAAAGATGGGGCGAGACACGCGAAGATATTAAAATTAATCATTACCGTGTATCGTACTTGTGTTCCACGGTGTTTCAACCGTTTCTTTATCTGAATTTGTAAATTGTATTCGTTTATGTTAATCATACGAGAAAGTGTTCTTTCAAAGTAATGCGCCTACTGCCTACAATAAAATGCCCAACTCTACAGTCGCACAGTATAGATGACAGTGTGTACAAACTAAATTTAATTAAATAATTGCAAAAAAAACAAAAAAAACAGTAGGCATTATAAGGAAATAAATAAACATATACCTACTTAATAAATAACAAGGTTGGACGTTTACATATTAGTAAGATAGACAATTAGCTAGTTTTTTTCATTGTCAACTTTATGTTATATAATTCAAATATATATGTATATATTATTTTTAAATAAAAAAGAAAATTAGTGGCAGTAATCGAATAAATAAAAACTGTTTAAATTAACTTTACCTAAATTCACTAAACCATATTAAGTACCTAAACGAGTAAGGATTAATCGATTTTATTCTGATAAATATTACATAATAGTTAATAGTTGTTACTTGTTATTATACTTATCGTTGTTATGCGTCTTGTTATTTGAACATCTGAGCTGATTGTAAGGCGTCTCATGTAGGCAATATTGCTACAAACATAATATTTTTATTTAAAAAAGATTACATCACTGTTTCAATTATTATATTTTATTATGCGCTGTATGTAAAATAATAAAATCCCACGTAGAAAACTAATAACAAGAATAATTTTGCAGGCAAACGTATCTGACATGATATTTGCAAAATACCAGTGTATTTAAGTATTGCTTATATGGTACAAACACCACTTGTTACCATAAAAGATCACTTCAACTCGGGTATACAGGGTTAGTAATTTATTCTTAATAAGAAAAGTAAATTAAATATAATATACGCTACCATTTAACTTTCAAACGTCGATAGAACTCTGGAAGAAAATAAAAAATATATATATACAAATTTAAATATTGTCTAAACAAGGTTCTTCAAAAAAAAAATTACAATAATTTTAAAAGAAAATGAGTGTTTTATTCTTAATGAATTACTCTCTTGGTTAGAATGTTATGAAGTTTGTAAATACACACACATATATTTTCAGCAAACTCTGTTAGAAAAGTTTCTCTAAAATAGTTTCGTTTACTCAAAATTACTATGGTTCATCTGTCAGAGTAACTGCTTAAATAATTGAAGTGAGAAGAGGGCAGGGCGAGGGTAAAACGATGGGGTAAAGTGAGCGGGATACGTGGTCAGAGTCCTGCGCTTTCCGGAACCTGGATCTTGCAACGGCAAACACTTGAAACAGACTTATATATTCTTAACTAAGGAACTTACTGTGTTGCTTCTTATTTGTTTCGACGTTCCGATAAATGTAGAATGTGTAGAATCGGACTTTAGAAATATAGAATCGGACTTTAGAAATTCATAAAGGAAAACATAATTCCAAATGTATGTTACAAGCTAAGAACAATAAATATTAAACTATTTAATCAAGTTTTGCCTACTAAGAGAGTAATACATATTAAAAACTTTCAGAGGCTAAATTAAAAAAAAAACGAACAATTATTAGAAAATCAATCGTGATTTAGGTATGTTTAATTGATAGGTTTACTCTACGTGTAACACATGTTGGTTTTAAATCCTTGGTACTGAAGTATGAGTGGGTTAGTCGGGTATGCCCTATTCTTGTAGGCGTGATTGATATTTCCTTTTTTCTTTTGATACCTGGGTGATATTTCTGTTTTTGGACATCGAGTTTGACGGCTTTGATTTTGTTTGGGACAGGTAAGACGTGAATGCAATCGTTCTGCCATTTTCCATTATTTTTTTTTTGAATATTAAAATAATATTTTAACAATAGGTTCGATGTGATTTCTTTTAAGCCCCCAAAAAATACCTAGGTGGACCAACTGAAATTACGGTTAATATAGGAACACAATACATTTACAGCTGTAACAACTAAATACAATTAGCTTTAACTAAACATTTAGTTAGCCGAACTATTTGTTTAGTTACATTATTATATTAGTATACATTACAACGGAGAAGACTAACTAAAAGGTTTTACCCAATGAAGCTGTTGACCATTTAGTCAAACCTTTGTGTTTTTTTTTTGTTTTTGTCACCTACACCTTAACTGAGTACATTTTCTCCGACTCCGATTCCGGACAAGTTAGGAATATATTAAATTGCTCTCACGGGATCAACTTGTTAGAGCACTGTGTACATAAAAAGACTTAACAGAATCGATTGTGGGACATACAGCATAATACGCATAGTTGGCCAATCATTCGGTGTGTTTATGATTATTATTATAAGGAGACCGGTATCGCGCGCGAGGCATAACAGCGCATTAATTAGACGACTATTATACAATGTTGTTGTGGATAGCTGATATATTATAGATGGCCAAGTCTTAAGCTGTTCGGTTTTCACGTGCACGACGCGTGCCGGTACCGAATTATATTAGCCCGTTCCCTTGGACGGTATTACGACAGCCGCCGGCCGAATCCTTCATATAATAACGATTCGGAATTCATATTATATATATATATATATATTTTTATTTTTTATAGGCTGTACGCAACAGACAGATAATATTCGAATATTAATAATAAACCAAAAAAAAAAAATTAAAAATTGACAACGCGTAAAATTAAAAAAAAAAACCGGTTATAATATTATATTTTCCAATGGATTTACAAAATACACAATATTTTATACTTAAAGCGTAGGCCAAGAACGTTTTCATTGGCGGCTAACCCGTCGGCCAAATGCCAACGCGGGTCGGTTCCAAGCAGCGACCGTTAAAATCTAGCACACTAATATTAATTACTATTATGAAAATCTTGTTGAGACTTAACCTAACCCAACCTAATCTAATATAGCCTATACCCGTTGGCTTTATTTGACTACTGCGCCGACCACATGATTATATTAATATTGTCCTTGGACGCGCTTAACGCTTAACGTCTTTGTTATGTTATATTGAAAGATTAACTTACTTGTGCTTGTTTTTACCTAAGTCGTGACAAGGTTCTTTCTATGATACTAATATAATATATTGGTACCCCACTAGAGTAAGTTTTGCTGATGGGAAAAAAACCGTTCCAAAAAAAGAGATTCCAGGACTAAGCTCTTTTTGAGTTTACATTTCTGTTAGGACAAAATATAAGCCATACCGCAACAGTTATGTACAAAATAATAATCACTTGTGTTTTTTCAAAGAAAAAAATGTATATATATCAATGGCTTGCAAATAAAAGTATATTATTCAGTCGACATTTTTTAAAATTTATAACTCCAAATACAATATTATATTATATCTTGTAAGCCATAAGATATTTGAAAAAGTCAAGTTGGTCCCATCTCGGCTGAACGTTGAAGCGCTAAAAGTTATCTGCGCATTCTTCGTTTCAAACAAACGTAGGTAATAGATAAAAAATATAAATAAAATACAACATTTGTCTTTAATTTGAAACAGTTATAAAATCAAACATCATGCCACTCTGATATATTTCAATAATTGTCAATTCCCACTGTGTTAACTAGTTTTAGCAGTCTTAAAACGTTAATTAGTAAGTAGTACCAAACACAGTAATCAATCGGACGGACGATAAAATGTAATTTATGTGTTTTCTCTCAAGATGTAATTGCGTCTTGTTAACGAATTCCGCAAGGTAATCGCCAGCTGCTAAGTCTTGATTTTCTATCGTTCCACTGAGTGTACATACTAACCGAGATAACAATTATATTATTATTGTTGTAATGTGATAGCCGATAATATCGTTGTATTGTAGTTTATATATTGTAGTAAAGCTGCTAATGTTGTGAAATCCTGATAAAAAAAAATAGGAATTTATGGCCCACAAAAAGAACATGACCAGAACATTGTTCCGGAAAATAAATTTATTAAAAATTAAATTTGATAATAAATAGCATACGTTATGATTGAAAATCGTACAAGCTAAAAATATTATTTTCAGTTTTCCAGATGGTAATCACTATCCGTAAAATGTAAAATATTGTAAATATTGTAACCTATGCTTAATATAGGGTACAATATTATGTCACTTTTAACTCAGACGTGCCGCTATAACTAAAGTATATACATCTGTTTACCTTTGTACACAATTTGCTTATTAAACTTTGCATTGTGGCTAAGAAAAAAAGATTTTTAAGGAAAATAAGTACGAGTACACAATAATGAATAAATAAATAAAACAGTTTTTGGATTTTATAAATACAATTAATTTAATAATTCAAACATAAACGTATAACTCACCTTATGTCGTCGTTGATAAAAAAAAAAGTATTTTGTAAAACATTTAGATGATAACAAAAATAGCAGTTTTTCTGTTATAATTTTGACGAAAACTATTTTATCAACGTTACAATTTAATTGGTAACTTACAAAAAAACAAACTTTGCCGGTTAAAAAATGAATTATAATTAAAAACAACTCGGACAATCTTAATAACAATATTTACAATTTAGCTGTATTTCTTATGGTTAGACCGTAATACATATTATGTTTAATGTAAAAGCATTTCGATTCGTTAATTTAATTAGGATTTTAACAATAAAATTACACATAACATAACATTTAAATTAAGTATTTGAATACTTTTTTACGTCAATCGAACGAAAGCTTTATAAGTTGTTTTTCGGGTTTTTTTTCTAGTAAAAACTGTTCGATGCGTCCAGATTTGTCTTCAATAAACTTCATGAACGAATGAAACAGTTTATATTTAACGGGATTGCTGGATCTATGGTAGTTAATTTCCTTGTTCAACTCATTTGCAATCGCGATGAGCTCTTTCAGTTTATCATCTGGTATACCAGTTTTTCCATGATCTAGTTTAATACTTCCATGGTTTGTACTATTAAGTAAACTTATTGCCTCGGAACTACGTATGCCTATACCACCGTCGGGCACACGATCGTTTATAGGAGATATGCCCAACGCTATTGAAATCAAATTATGCTGATGCGCAATTTCTTCCATCACAGCATCTTTGTTTCTTATATAACTAGTCGGATCAGAACTAAAAAAGTCGTTTAATTGATAAAAGAAATCGTCGTGGCTTAAATTTAACAAGCTAATGAATTTTGCTATGATCGGATTTATTTGGCGAACATAATTATTACCGTTAATGGGATTTTCTTCGGTACGCGTTTTTCCTATTGAATCTATACGAGTCATACTCAGCCAAGTGATTCGAAGCATACACATTTTGTGCACGTCCAACATCATTAGGTTATATTTTCCGAAAGCCACTTCGGACGCTAAACCGTTGTCGTCAATGCGTTTTATTTGCGAATTTGTAGTTGTAGCCCATTTATACCAATCGTCCCGTCCAAGGATTACTCGACCACATCTTTCTAATTCTGGAGAATCTTCTTTGAAAATGTAATACATCACGTCCTCCAAGTCGGTAAAAGTAATATCATGGTTGTCCAAGTAACGGAGACCGTTTACAAAGTTATGGTTGGACAACTGGTTGAGTATACCTTTGTTGACACTTGCCGCGAATAATGCGAGCTCGTGTGAATAATTATCCTTTAATTGATCTTCTACGGATTTATAATGCAAACAAGTATTGGATTTCATGTTGAAAAAATTACCAACTGTACAATTTGCTTCTAAATACGTTTCTAGTTGCCAAACGAAGAAATCTCGGGCCTGCAACATTTTCTTGTTATTTTCACGCATAAAGTGTCGATCTTCCCAATGGCGGAGGTAGTACTCTATTTTGGTGGCGAACCGGACGACCGACCATATCTCATTCATTTGCACGCCTTTTGCATTAAACAAGGAGCGGAATATGTTTTCAGTTTCCGTTGAAAATGATATTGCACTGCGGTCGGAAATGTTTTTCATGCGATCAGAGTATTCGTCCAGAAAAACGTTTCTGATCAGCGAAAAATGACTATGCGCACCGAAAAGATAACCGCATTTGAGTGCGTTGAATTTAGAAACAATCGCTTGTCTTAGTTGTCCTCTGCTAGCCGAACGATCAGGCGAAAACTCAAAGTCCTGTTTCCCATATCCGTTGACCATCGATTTTGTCTGATACCATTGTACTACTAGATCTACATTTTTCAATTTGTCTTGGCAAGTCGAACACTTCATCTGGATGATAAAAACTAGATAATACGCTAAACGGTACTTTATGGAATTCATTTTAAACAATATGCCACGAACTTACAAACGAACGAACACTAAGAGTGTACGAATTCACAAGTGTACTACTGTCAATTTTATCAAACGGAATCGGATGATTTATTTACATATATGTATATACATCTTATGCTGAACAAAGAAAACGTTTACTTCCTACGTGAAAAATAAAAGACTTTCATGAGTATGGTATCGTAGCTTTGCATACGTCCATATTGTGTTTATATATTTACACAATTTGCTCAATTCGTTGCGATTCAAAAAACAGTTTAGAACAGAATATATGCTGAAGTCTTTTTATGCTAATTATCGTGATAACGATTTAAACGTCGAGGAACGATTGAAAATCAATGTACCTATACAATCGGGTATATAGTACAACGAGATAGACCAAACCTGACCAAACAAATGCTGCTGACCACCTTGGAAAATATTATGGTCTTTGTGTTGGCCGGGCAAAGTCAAAAACAGTATACAGGGTGATTTTTTTATCATAGATCACTCAAATATATCTCACTGGGTTCGATTAATAATTGAATTTGAATTTCCACAGTGTTTTCATATAATATTTTGATATCTTAATTTTTCACAAATTTTCATGTTCCTACCCCCTTCCCAAACTAATAATATTTTGAAACTTGAACGGTAACGCATAACGTTTTATTAACTTTTTAAATTGAGTATAATGTACTAGTGTACTACTAACATAGTGAGATATTGATTGGCCCACGATAAAAAAATCACCCTGTTTTATTGTCTTTATACATGTATACACGTATGTAGGTATTGTTTTAACTGAAAATAAAAATGACCAAAGAAAACGCTGCGCTGTGCGGATTACGTGACAACAGAGACACACAGTTGTTAATTTTGCAACACATAATATATTATTTTCATTATCGTGAGTTGTGTTTTTTTGCGCGCGCATATTTTCATGGGCAGTTTGCCGGTGGCGGTCATTGCATACTACCAGGTATATAAATCCGTCCTTGAACCATTTCCGTGTACTTCTTGAGCACACACAACCGCATTGCGAATTTTGTTTTTATTTTTAAAACGACGCGTCTCGTAAAACGTTGAACTCTCTGTCTCTCTGTGCAAAATAATAATATAAAACCGTATTAGCGCAGTTTATGTGTGACCTGTAACAGTAATTGATGATCAGTTAGACCAACCGACTGGCATCGCGTTGCCGTGGTCAATAATCCGTCCGCGACACTAAGAAAACTCCACGGCAAAATTTGATCTTTCCCAATATACGTACACATGTTTTTGTTTGATGTATTTCAGTTCTTGTTTTAAAGCTTTTTAACAAAAACATGAACGTCTACGATACTATGCGCTTAACTGATCACTATGTATAACACATTCTTCGCGTACCTATTCTTCTGTATAATATACACTGTACACTTCCTATTGTACTCTCGTATTCTTCTGCCATCCATCGTGCATTCGGTGCTCCTCAAAAATAATAATATAATACATATTATGATTATTGATTAGCATAACATAGACGTCTCCATTAGGTCATGCGCCGAATTCTAAAAATACTACGTTGAAGTCAACGCCTCATTTGTTATTAATCTCACACGTGGACCTTCGCACTTGGCTGTTAAGTGTTAACTGGTATTTATTTCATTTATTTATTGTGGTAAATAATATTAATTTTTTTTTTTTACTACATCGCCACACACGTAAGACGTTTGACACTTGGCTCTTACCTATTGGCTATTACTAAACAGATTCCAATAAACCTCCAAGATGCCTCTGACCATAATATTTCAGGTTTTGTTTTATATCGATATCAAAATGTCGTTATATTTTTGAAATATTGCATCATTCGATTTTTAATAAACAGTTTTTTTTTTTTAAAGTCCGGTTTATTTTAATCATTTAAAACAAGACCTGACAACAACTCGAGTTATGAGCCATAAATGGGCTTTTATTTGGTTAATTAACATTTTTCAATAGATTTTACGACGAATGAAATATCTAACAAATAACTTTAAAATCGAGTTTGAGTACATTTTTTATAGGTACAACGATAACCTGTCTAATAGATTCAAAACGTGATTTTTAACAAATCCAATTAGTTATAATGCGTTTAATATACAAATAATCGTGCAATATATATATAACACACACATAAAACGTGATTGAGTAGTATTATAATATTATATTAGCTAGATAATAATTTTCATACAACAATTGTATGTTACATTTTAAAATTAAAAATTAATGGATTGGCCGGTAATCAAATATTAACATCACAAATATTTCAATAGTATTTCCTAAATTTTTTTAATATTTTCTAAAACATGACATCCTTACTACTTTTAATTTGCTGTGTGGGGTTTCTAAATTTCTCCTTTGTTTTATTCTCCGCTTAATCTCATACAAGTTTTTTTTGGCCATTCTTATCCACTAACTTTTCCCTCGTGCTTCAAAAAATCCTAATATTTAATAAAAGCGATTCACTTTGCAGATACCTATATTTTGTCTTATTATTATTTTTTTTTTTTAGTGCCAATAAATATATATTTTCCACGACGGCCATCCGATTAAATCTTTAATTTTATATTTTAAACAACTATTGTTGCCGTACCGACAATTTTGATGACCTGGTTTTTTTTTCGCCGTCCTGTTTTGGCTTGGGGCACTCAATAGTAAACATATCCTTTTATAGGATTAAATATATAATATACCAGCGTCGGTAGTATGGCATTGCATCACATCACGTGTCACGAAAAATATGCACAATTTACTCGTTGCAATCAATGTAATAATATGTATAATGTAAATTAATATATACAATTGCCTCGACTAACGGGCGGGGGTCTAAATACACCGTGATGCGACCGGGGAGGGGGGGGGGAGAAATATCCTATAATTATTTCCTAAATCTTATACCATGTAAGGCCCACGTGCGAAATGCGCAGTTTTGACAAATTGCGTTTTAGGTCATTCCGCTTGCGATCACTGTTTAGATTGGCAAATGCAAGTGTAAATACGGTATTTACGTTTCTGTATAGAGTATAATATATTATACCTACGAATAGATTAAAATCTGTTCTCAAAATAATATTACATTTTACGCCGCGTCGAACCGTCGCGTCGCGTCGTGCAATTTTCGTCTTTCCCGAGTATTTTTTTACATTGTGTATTGTAATTTTTTTTTTTTTTACCTTTTGTTGTGTTTACAAATATTATAACAAAAGGTGTAAAAGACCATGTAGATAGTACACACACACAGACAAATTGACAATCTAATTAGTTTTCTATTGGCGATACCGGTATAATAGTATATAAATATGCGCCAAGGTCGACGACGTGATCATTGATTGCTACAGTGTTCTACCGGTAGGAGTCTCTCTTTCTCTCGGTCGAAGAGCACAATAAAAATAATAATTTTTAGGTACCCCCGTCGACCGACCACTGGCGTTTATGTCCCCGCACTTCACGCGGTACACGTGCAAACATTGTCGCCGTCACGCCGTCCGTGCACCGGCGTTGCTCAACCTTCGAAGTCCGTGTAAAACGTCTGTCCGCCTGTTGGATGGCTAAACTGTTATTGCGGCCGCATTTGGAAATCGGCGAATACAAAAAAAAAAAAGATTACATTAATAATTGTTGTGCAAACCGAACGAGTGCTGACGCCAAAAATCATTTGCAGACGATAACGATAATAATGCCATTTGTATTTGTCACCGGAGAGCGCGTTTCGTGGGACCGTATAAGGGTCCGTTTGTTTGGACTTGACGTTTGGGAATTGAAAAATGTAATACAGTTCAACGACACTAAGTGTTAAAACTACCTATACTTGAATATTAAGCTTAATTGGTGAGAACTGTGTGTTTTTTTTTTCATCTAATAAACGCTTAATGAATTAGTATTAAAATGTATGTACCGCGACGGAACCTGTTCCTAAGGTTAATCAATGCGTTCTTTTTTTTTTTTTTTTTAATATTTATATCTTTTATATATTTTATCATAAAAAAGAACATAAAAAATAGCCGAAGATCACTGATCAGATTATAATAATTTTGACAAAATATGATCATTATTCATTTAAGATTTTGTATTACTGGCAAATGTAATGCACTTTGATGTAAAACTAGGTAACCCCTCCATTATTCTCATGACGCTTGCAGTAATATATTATTAAACAAGGTACTCGAACAATCAGAATAGAATACATTAATAAATGTTTACTAAACGAGTAAACGGTTGTCATTATATTAATGTAAATTATAATAAAAAACATAAAACGGCAATATATTTTATACCTAACAAAACTGTTTTTCATGTAAATACTACAGAATCGTGATTTAGCATCATACTTAGTATTTATATTATAATATTTTATTAAAACTGTATTTAATATATGACACTCGCTTGATCCTAAGATAGTCGTATGTTGTATCGGTTCATAAGATACTAATAATAAACGATTATAATAATAATTTTATCATCCTACGACAGAAAAGTCTTATTTCTCTACAACATTGTTGTCTTAGTAGAAATCACAGAAAATGTTGATTTATTTTTTATTCCACGTGTTACGCAGACGTAGTAAAAAAAATATATATAATATTTTAATTAAATTATAATGTGCATTTTTAATGATTTTTTATAATAATCTTGTCTTTACCAACTGATCGACTAACACCGTACATTCTGAAGTACCCTTTAAGTTGTTACAATCAAGCCGAAGTTAAAATATAAGCTTGGTTTTTTTTTCCAAAGACCGTGCTTTAATATTTAAAGAACATTTGAGTTGAGTATCCGTTATGTTATTTAAGGCGTTCGGTATAGGCAATTTTGCGCACAATTTTAATGTAATCCTAAAACTTGACTAATGAATAATGTGTAAATTCGTTCATCAGACTATCAAGTATCACGTCGGTCATGATCCTATTTGTAACCTAAACTTATAGGTTATAACTACCTATATGCAAAAGGATAAATCAAATATTTACATAAGTTGTATTTTAAGAAAAATATTAGAGGTTTAAATACTGGTTGTATTAATAGGCCTATTATCTATCCCATAAAGTTAAGAATAATATTATTATAATTATAATTTATTTATAATACTAACGTCAAACGGCTATATATACAATATACAATGAATCAATACTATCAATATTACAGCGATCATTTTACAATAGCAAATAAAAAAAGAAATCACAAGAATATACACAGAGAAACGTAGTAGACTGAAGGCAGCTAAAACAAAACTCATTAGATTAATTCTCATTAATCATCCTAGTTATTGGGTTACTATTTTTTTTTCAAGAATATGACACAAATTGTTAGGACTTATTTTTTTCCTTCGTTTGTGATCTAACGAATTCAGAGTTTGGACAATATATCCGAATGCGATGATCTCGTTTGCAGTTTTAGAAACGCCAGTGAATACCCGGTGTACCACGATGCAGTGAAAATGTGTACCTATAATCTTGTAATACAATATACATTAACCGGTTTTCCAAACCTCCTCACGACAGCATACAAGTACGATCCGGTGTCTCGAGCTTACACAACGCACAACCATGACAAGTGTTGACAACACTATTATGCTGACAATAAAAATACGAATAAAAGAATTTTAGAGATATAAAGATATCGTACAAAAAATATTGGCCCAGTATAGTACTTTTTACTGCACTAAATTACTGCGGTGGTCGCCGCCCACGTTTGCAAAAACCGCTACGGCAAAAAGTAAGACAAAGTGTGCGTTTCCCCGCGAGTAAATTCATTTGTGTGGACATTATTGGGGTTTTTTTATTTTTTTTTTTTACCGTTTATAATTATTATTACACAAACGACGGATGCTTAGTATCTGAACCGGTGCGCGACCCAGCCTACACGGTATTTCCGCGCGGAAGACCACGGCACTGCCGGGGAAGGTAAATAATATTACCGTACATATTTTGGCTGGCGTTGCTGCGTTGCATTAGAAATCGAAGTCACCGGATTGTCTATTGAGCTGTGGTCGGAATCACATTATCGAGAACAATCGAATTCGACTAATCGGCACGACGAGCTGACGTAACGCGTTAATTTCGTCTGGTGACTTCTTCATTGTGTATAATAAGAACCAACAATGATGCTCCGATCGGCGATTTCGTAACAGCCGTCATGATATTATTATTACAATAATTATTGTCCTGTAACAAAGCGATGACACGCCACAGCCGAAAATTACATATTTTACCAACTGTTGGCGAAATTAGTTCCAAAGCGTTGACAAACCGAAAAATACCATAAACCCTTTTGCCTGTAAGGGATAGAAATGTTTACTTTATATCAATTTTTCGAGCAAAGTTTTAGGGATTTATGTCTGAAAATTTAACCGGAGGTGGATCTAGAATGGAACTATAACATATTATACATATTTCTCAAAAACATTCTGTCAAACTTTTTTTTTATTATGAAAAACCTCAAACGAGGGGAAAACTACACCGTTGTAATTTTCCAGGTTACTATGTCGCGCGAGTGATTCAACAGTCAACACGTAATGAAAATAATTACATTATATTGTTAATAATATAGCAATACATTTTTACAGACAGACGGTCAACTCTAATCTCGTATCCACACTAATACTAAAAATTAATTTTTAAGCACATCATTTTCATTACTCAGTTATTACTATTATTACTACTACTTACTTACTTCCTGCTTACGTATAAAACTTCCTTACTGTGCTTGTTTGGACTGCACTGGTTTATACCTGCTATCCACAGGTTCGCAACGAAGCGTATATTTAAAAGTGATTTTATTGTTTTTAATTTCTAATAATTCTTGTAGACTTGTGGCTACCCGATCCCACCGTACTGGTTTTTAAAAATAATATTATTATTTTAGAAACAAACAATTGTGACAGCTTGTCTGTAAAGTTATTCTGAACACAGCAATCAACGCGATTTCAACGAGTCTATCGTTTTATCTTAATACGAATTAGCAATCAAAAATAAAAATAAATCTCAATAGAGTGCGATAGTAAAATTGTTTGCCTCTTGTGTGATTAACATGGGTGTGCAACCAATTAAAAGCTAATTAAAGATGATGGCGTTATCTACGGTTTACTGAAAAGACTTTTTTTATGTGTTAAAAGTTATATTAAAATAAAGACGTATTATAATTATTATACTTGTAATACGCAATTGTACTAATAATTAAAACAATTTTTTGTACTTTTTATAGTGTATGAACAATTAGTTTTCCAATAAATTATTTTGTATAAAACAATACTAACAGTTGATAACATACACATTGTAGTATAATGTGTCTAATAATACTAAAATAATTTCTAAATTAACAATTAGGTATTTTAGTAAACAAGTACGTTTATAAAACTGTACTTCCCAATGTTTTTATCAGACTAGACTTCAAAAACAATTATTATTTCAATAAGTATAACAAAAGTTCTAGGCCAGATGTCGCGAACAACGTGTGATTAAATTACTTATTTTTTTGTCTTTAAATTCTGCTGTCTACCTGTATTTTTTCACCCGCTAAATCCAATTGAATTTCGGCCAAGCTCCTGTTTTTCGTTTCGGGCATGATAAGTAAAGCGAAAATTGCGCCTAACACGCAGAAGCCACTAAATGTGAAAAACGTGCCGTGATTGCCCACCCATTTGGGCAAGTCTTTTGATATGTACGTAACGAGGAACACGAGTATCCAATTAACTGCGGTAACAATGCTGGTGCCGTAAGGTTTCAACTAAAAATTAACAGGGTCGGGAATAGTTTAGAGAACTACAGAAAACAATGTCAGGCGAAATGTGCTTGTACTTACTTCGTTGGAGAATATCTCTCCTATCACCACCCAGGGTATAGCGCCGTAGCCTGTGGAAAATCCCATTATGTAGATTGCGATGGACAAAAGCGGAAGCCAAGTTATCGACTTGGCCATCTCAGGATTGTCCTTGTAGATCATGTAATAAACACCCAGACACATGTAACTGGCAGCCATAATGCAAGCCGAAATCGCCAGCAATACCTTGCGGCCGGCTTTGTCTATCAGCACCATTGTCACTAGTGTCATGAAAAACTGGAACAGAATTTATTCACCATAATATTTATTATTGACAAAGATGACTATCGTTGTATGATAATCGCAGTTCTCTGCCCCAATTTATTTCCAACATGTTCGTTCATGAACCATATACACCACTTAATCTCATACGCTTATTGTCTTCTCCCGTCAAGACATTACGTTGGCGACAAGAAAGCATCATGACTAAAACGAATACAAACCATGACAAATCCAACGGTGATAGACGCCGTGTTAGGATCCAACTCGCTGCCGGTCGATGAAAATATGTCGTTCATGTAAAATATCACTACGTTAATGCCGCTGGTCTGCTGGAACAACATGCAACCAATACTAATTTGCAAAGACCTGCGATTGACGACGTCTGACATGAGTTGGCTGAAAGTGTATTGACGGCAGTTTTCGTCTTGGATAGCTTTCTAGAGATGTAACAAGTTATATAAAAAAAACACTATTTTTTTTTTTATTTCTACACTAGCGTAACGCGGATTACATTGATTTCGTCCAACTCTTGTGCCGTGTCCGCGTTGGACCTTCGGAGTTTCTTCAACGACCTCACAGCTTTTTCTTCCATGTGATTGTTCAGATAATAATACGGCGACTCGGGTATTAAAAGAACGCCAACCAAATGGATCAACGACCACATTGCACACAGTATACAAAGCGTTAAGTAATTGAAGTACGCTCCGGCGATGTACGCGTACAGCACCCCGACGACCACCAAGACTTCGAATATGGCGCCTAATCTTCCTGTAACCACAAAACGACTTTGGCGGTGACTCGGTACACTTAGGTCGAGGTAATGAGATCGAGCAAGCATCGGTTTACCTCTTATAGTGGGTTCGGAAATTTCTCCGACATACATAGGAATGACGGCGCACAAGGCGCCCACGCCGATCCCTTGCAGCGTCCTGCCTAAGTTCAGCATCCACACGCCTCTGGGAACGATTAGACATACCCAACCGCCGAACAAGACGATTTCGAAAACCACCATGCTCATGCAACGTCCCATTAGTTTAGCCATAGAGCCGGCGGGCAGAGCGCCGATTGCCGCGCCTATGCCGAAAATCGACCCGTAAGTCTGCGTGTCGGCTTTGGTCACCGGAAATGGAGAAGAGAAGTTTCCGGCTTCCAGCAAAACAACGGCGGGCGACGACCATCCAATGACCGCCCCCATAGCCATGGCTCCCAAAGTAGCTGTGAATTTATAATAATCAAAATTAAAGATAAAACTGTATAATATAATTAATAATAGTTGAATGACTAAGTCCTTGGATTTTTACGGTCACAGTCCGATAAAACACTTGCTGTCAGAAATGTAATTAAACAATAATCGTAATACACTAACTTAAACCATTTTTGACCCGGTCACATCTATGATAAGGATGGATTTTGGTGCAGAGGTGGACGCAGATACTTTTTTTTTACACTAATATAAGACACTTATACCGAAACTGTTATAGTATTAAAGAGTTCTCAAATATAAATTTGAATCATAATTATTTTGACTGCACGATTTTTTTTGTTCCGTTTGTTTTAGAACTTGATCATGAACTCGTATAATATAATTATTTCTGCAGAAACAGCTAGCGGCATCTATACAGATTATTTTGAACTATATGTAAAAACAATATCAACAAATCATGAGTAGACAATATTATAAACAATAAATATAATCGGTCCATATATGGAACATTGTACAGTAAAGCGTTAACAAAATGTATTTTCCTCGACATTTACACTTTTTATAAGTAAATAGTAATGGGTAATATATTATAATATATTAGTTATACAGGTATGACATACCTACGTTAGATATGGGGTAACTAAACTAATTTATATTATAATAATGTACCAAATTGTTTAACACGTTGATGGACACTTCGTTTTATTATTTTTCTACAAAACGGTCCATAAAATGTCACTTTTTCATTACTGCTAAAGAAGTAATTTTTTTACCTAACCTAACGTTTCATACTTATTGTCAATTGTTGATCATTAGTTTGTATCAAAGGCGTGTCATCGATACATGCCCATCTCTGATTTGACTCATTTTAGTCTACTCAAAAATTCTGTAACCTAACTATTACTGTGGATACATTTTTTATGATCATTTTGAAATAGTAAAATTTGTTTTTAAATTGTTTTTTATTTTTTCACGATAAAAAAAACAAAACGTTATGTTGAAATTTCCTCACTAAATCTGAACATAATCCATAATTTTTAGAGAAAATTTAATAAAAAAAAATTTTAAAGTTAACTAATAAATAGTTTTTTACTTATATTTGTGAAACTAAAAAAATCATGTATAGGTAGACGAGGTTTGAACCTGCGATAGTTACCATGAGAAACCTGTTTTATTTCCAATAAGACAACGTTGCTATCGTACGTCGACGCAAGTATGGTCGTTTATTAAGTTCATATGACATGCGTTAGACTAATTTTTTTTTTTATTCTCAACTCGCATTAGGCTTTTTATAAAAGTTTACATTTTCTTAATGGAATTTATATTATTATATAAACAAACAAGCATGTACCTAATAAGTAATATATACACCTATGACGTAAGCATCTTAAATCTTAAGAAAGTCGGAAAAATTCGAGTCAGATTTAAAACATTAATTCAAGTAATAAATTAGAAGTACAATTAAAACAATTGAATTTTATACAAACCTACCGTCGCAGCGTACACTTGAGGTAAGTATTTCGCATTGATCTTCATCTTGTTGTATATTATTTGTCTGTAACAATCATATTGTGTATGTTATATCATATTGTGTCTGCGTATCGGACGTGATTTAATATTGCAATTGGTATATGTTTTGTTTGAATAGTTAATTTAAAAAAAATATTGATTTTATTCTGCACTAATCCAAGTCATCACGAGTTAATTTTCACTAAATAATTTGTCTACAAAAATAATCACTACTTAGATAAACAGGTGACCACGGTTAAGCCGGCAGCTGATGTTATGGCTTTTGGCGTGTTTATCTCTAAATTGATATGAAATATACTCTACCTGTGTACAATTAAAATTTCAACGTGGATGAAATTATGTCAATCCTCTTGAGTATTCATCAGCAAGCAACAAACTGCGAATAATCAACACAATACGTGGCAAAGGTGCACAAGAGAACAATGTTTGGCTCACAGCATGCTTTACCGACACATTATTAGCACTCCATATTTTAGACTGTTATCAACCTGTAGTATTTTTTTTATATTGTTATCTACCCGTAAACCGTTTCAAACGTAACATTTTCAAAGCTTATCTTTGTTTTTTCTCTCATATTGGTTTTTCACGTGACGACTACTTGTGTGTATTTTAATTTGAGTACATTCAACATTGTAATGACGATATTTAAAATGTTTAAAAGTTTATTTCTCACCCTTTATATTTACAAAAAAAAAAAATTGCCAATCAATTTTGCACATGTAGTCGGTTTTTTTGGATCTCGGAGTCGAAAAATTAAGCCAAAGATAGATTCAAAGGTAATTTGTCAAAAATTTGTAGCCAGACTTCACAAAAAACATATATATATACAAGATCTGAACACTGTGTGTTCTTACATATTATAAGCACAATCATCTTCCAAAGATATTCACAAAATAGTTGCTTGTTTTTATTGCAAGGATGGTTAGATTGTTTTTCTGTCGTGTAGTGTAAGTTAAAATCTAATAAAATATGTAATTATTAAGTATAATAGACGGCGTTTCGATAGAACAATTGTTGAACAATAAGGACATTGAAGTCTTTGACAAAAATTCTCTGGTTAAAAAATGTTAAGGTTTTTTGTAATTATTTTTTATGATATTTTTTCGCGTTATTAGTAAATATTAGGCCACCTCAAGCTGTAATACCGTATTGACGAATTGACCGAGTCAGGGCAAAATAAACCATTCGTAACATTTATTTATCGAGTACTTTCCTAAAATTTATTCAAAACGCACAAAAAATATTTAATCACAGATTACTTGCTGGCTATATATATATACATATTGTTATGATGGAATTGTGGCTGGAGGATGTCATACCTCGTCAATGATTTGCTTTGTTGTTTATTTTAAAGCATGAGTAATGAGTATGTAGGAAAAATTAGATTTTTTTACAATACTTTTTGTGAGTTGATAGTTATACATTTTCTATTGCAATCCCTTCTGAAATGAAATTTTAATTCGTACTACTAAGAAAATCGACTAGTAAAGTCCATACCAAGCACAGTATTATTTAAATCGCCAATACTATTTTTTATTTCTTGTTTTACTTGCATACATTTTAAGAAGAGAGTTGTGTAGTATGATTCGCGTTATGAGTTATCGTAGGTTTACAGAAAGCGATCCATTTCAAAATACCAAATAATGTCAAGAGGACGCCACACAACTCATTTTTTAAGGAGTAAGTATAGGCAATTTTTCAAAAAATCTTAATTTAGAGTTTCAACTATAATGTATACTTATTAATACAGTAATGAGAATACTTTGTTGATTGCCATTTTTTTGTCAGACCATCACAGTCATTTCTATAGAATAAATTACAATTTTTTCCCCATCAAAACCGTTTTATGCGGATTAATTTTTCTCAGGCTTCGTATATAGTTAAGGAAAGAATATCATGCATATTATATATGATAAAATTATATGTGCTCCAGCATCCGTATTTTTTCGATGTATCTAATACAACCGACGCTGTATCATTTTTAAAAAAGTAATTTCTTAATTCATTAATTATTCATTAACTGGTTGAAATATTAAAAAAAAGTCCATGGGTAGAGCACAGACACAATGGTGTTGTCTATATTATATGAAAATTTAGTTTTTTTGGTCACAAACCTAATAAGTTTATCTAGAAAAAACTTGAGCAACTTATGGTTATAACTTATATGTATATAATCAAATAATATTTAAAACCCTTAACCATAAAAAATTATATACTCTCCGTGTGTATAATTGTTTTTGGTTATATTATTATGGCATATATTATTTTACAAATTAGTTTACTTAATCAGAAATGTACCGCATAATATTATAATATTATCAACTTGGATGTTCGGAATCGACACCGATAAAAAAAAAAAATATATATATATATATAGTAAAATATAACTCGTACAACGTTTGATATTTTTATCCTTCGATGTAGGCAACCGAGTTAAGAAATATTCACACTGTGGTCTATCTTCAACAATATTGACACTTATTATTATTTAATAATAGTGATTACAAAATAGATTATTTTCTTCTCTCGTGTATTAGTTTATAACGACAACAGCGTATCATATACAGTATTCTTATTTTTATAATGGATATTTCATAGCACGTTGGGACACCCGGGCCAGCCGACTATTCAAATTGGCAAACAACAATAATATAACGTTATTAGGCGGTTTTATAATTCGGTTTGCCATTATTTATCTAACATAATGAAATAAAGCCACTCGAACTGGTCAACGCCGTCGAGTGCTTGCAATAACGTTGGGAGACAATGACGCTGGTCTGTGATCGGCTGCTGGAGCTAACGAATGTCAAAACAGCTGGTGTACCCAACCACGATGTTATTAAATGGTGACGACATTGGACACAACGTTGATAATATGGTTTCCACAAAGACTATTCAAATAAATATACTTCCATTAATAATAATGTACGAACAACAAATCGTATAATCGTGATAAAATAATACCTTACGCCTTATAGGCAATATATGCTTTTGTCAAGAAACAATACAAATATCTGTACCAAGCGGAAAATCGTTAACGGAGCAACGTATTGGAGAACTTATTTAATAAAGCCAGTAACTTAAATGAGTTTTTACACAATTCATACAAAATTGACATAAAAAAATACTAAAAAGAACTAAAAAATCTGAATGTTACTAATGATATCAGAAAAAAAACAATATGTATATATAGAATTGATAGTAAATCATTAGTAAACATAAAGATTTAACGTTGCACCGCAGTTGAAGGGCTAAGAGCGACAACCAGATCAGTTTAGATTTTTTCAAAAAGTGTTTTATCGTAGAAAAATTATCTACATTTTGACGAAGTCTTATACTTGATTAATGAGTGTCGATAATATCAGACTGTTACAAACATACAACTAAACGCATTTTCTCTATTAATTGTAGTGAATGGGATAAATCATTTTCTATGACCGACGAAAGGTCTAACATACAAAAAGTTGACAGTTATCCGTACTTAAAAGTTTTTTTTTAAATACACATATAAACTCCTCATCGAGCGAAAACGGAAAGTAAAACGTTTTATATTACTTTTAAGTTTTAATACTTATACATTATTGCTTTTGACATATTAAATATTAATATACTGTATTAATGAGAGTAAATTTTCAATCGACGCATAGAACACTCCGGTTACCCTGAAATATAATAATTTTAATAGATATTGATTAAAAAAAAAAAATATATATATATACAAGGTGATTCTTTTAGTTGGGAGGGGTGTAAAAACAAAAAATAATATTGAAAAATTGAGATCACATTGTACAACAACAATATGAAAAAAAATATTTTAACTTTTTATTAAACCCTATGAGATATTTAGTGGTTCATGATAAAAGAATCATCCTGTATTATTAGTTGTTATAATATAAGAACTTCAGGTTTACTCACAAAAACGAATATGTCCTTTTATATTGTTACTTTAACAGTACAAAAAGTATACGTGCCTATTATAGTGCCTTACCCTGGTGTTAAATGTTCACCGAAAACGATCCGACTGTCTTCGGATTCGACCTCCTCCTCACAAGTTCTCATCAGTGCGTTTTTGTTGTTATCGTCAAGAATATATACATTATTACTGTCTTTGGTAAGTGATTTGATAGCGTTGCACCGTTTGGCGTAAATCTGATCATAATTTATCGACGCAATGTAATATATAAAAGCTGAATTGTGAGAGCAAAAATACACAAACGTGGCAGTATATCCATGCAATACATCTTCCACTGTTGTAATAATATACACGAAACACAGATATTACTATTATTGGATATGATTATATTGAGACGTAAGGTTACAGTGAACTGAATAAATAACAACGAGTCTAAGTGAAACTATCTGGTAAGATAAATCCGTGAAAAAAATATCCAATTATAAAAGTATATTTTTTTTAGAATTCGATCTTTCCCTTTAGATGAATGAGCTACAACAAGCTACCTGAAACATAACAATATTCTTTTATTTAAGCCAACAGAGTGTAACACATTTAACCAACGACTGCGGAGATGGTCAGGGATCAAAACTTGTATTTTTGTGATAAGCTAAGAACATATCTTCTAAGTTATATCATGGATTCAGTCTACAGGCAGCAGTGGAACGAACAACGTCATTACCACCATGCAGCTTAGTCTTCAAGATGAAAAACTTCGGGCAAGCGTTAACTTTTTAAAAACGCTCCGAGTGTAGGAGAGACGAATGTAATAGAATGTAATAGAAGCCGTCACTACACTTTAAGTGATTTTTATTGTTTTTAATGATATTTTTTTAGTGGGTATTGATGTCTATGGGTATAGATAACTTACCATTGGATATTTGTTCAATCGTTGTATTCAATTGTACCTTTAAGGCTTTAATAAGATTTGCCGATTTTTAGAAATATTAGGGAAAACCCCTAATTTTCAGTTCAGAGCAACATCATCACACGACCACGTAAAACAAAAGCAATTAATTACGTTCGGTTTGATTGTAAATGCAAACTGGTTGTACAAAAGCGTTGTTTATGTAAAAATCAACGGTTCCTATTGGTGTAATTTGTGCAAGGAAACCTGAATTAGTGTGATAAGCGTCCACGATTGTTGCACATTCCGGAGTCACATGATTTGTATGGTCTTGATAAAACATTCCGGCTGCATCCAAAACTTAATAAAGAAAACAAAATTAAAAAAAATTGCTTTAAAATAGTGCAGACATTTATAATATTATCATTTTTTTCAACTTATATATATTTCAAATGCAAATAGCTTTCAAAACATTACTAACAAAAAGTGCGTCCCTCCTTTGAGGCTCGACTTTTAATGTGAATTTCAAAAGAGTTTTGCGTGCTGAATTCACAACTGAGAACTGGCCACAGAATTATTAAATTATTTTTAGTTTTTTAGTAAGTGTATACAATTTGATGCATTATATACATCTTAAAATCAAAATTCTTATAAAAATACATATGGAAAACATATTGCATCGTGAAAATCTACTTATATAATATATTTTATAAACATTTACCGGTGACTCGATTTAAAAGCGTTCCTTTTTTTTCCTTGTAGAGAGATCCCACTCTACCGGCTATCTGACCACCTAAGCTGGCTCCTATCACGTGTGTCGAATTAATTTCAGGACGATTCTTGTGAATAGAAATGATCAAGTCTACTACTTTTTTCGCGACTTGTGGCACATCGCATCTGGCGGCTTTCATGTAAGTCGTTAAAAATAAAATTGCAGTTGGGTCAACGGGTCCCGTAACGTTTGAATAATCCACGACAATAATATTATTGTCTTCTGTTCTGTTTAGGTACGCTGTAAAGTGCAATAAAATATTTCTTAATCAATGAATACTTCATTATTTTATAGCGCGATTTTTATCATTATTACAAAAAAAGATAACACATTTCATTCTCGACTATAAAGAAATATTAAAAGCTTATTTAAAAATTTAAAATCCTTACACCTTCACCCACGTCTATCCGCCGATAGTATTGGAATTAATTAGCCATGTCCTTTCCCTTCACATTTTTCTACTTACACATTACACTTCTATGCAATTATAACAATATGATAATATTATATGAATTAAATAGTTAAAAACAAATTTTTTTTAACCAATTCATGTTTGAAAATTCGACCAATCAATAAACGACTAACGGAAATCTTTTTATATCGTATTGAAGTGTTTGTTTTTAATTCTGGGAGGAAGTATGAACATTTAAAACTGTCAAATACGACGGTCCCTATCATTGATAAACTTTAAGAGGGCACACCCGTTATTTTTTTCAAAAAACCCGCCTTTCGCGGATTAATTTTATAAAGGCTGTAATCAAAACAAAGAAACCAAATTTTCACATAATATAGACAACAACATTGACTGTGTTCTATCATCGCCCTTTTTAAATATTTCAGCCAGTTAAGGAATAATTAATTTATTAAGAAAGGACTTTTTTGACTTTTTTAAAAATGATATAGCGATGGTCGTATTAGGTATATCGAAAAAATACGGATGATGGAACACAGATAATTTTGTCATAAATAATATGTATGAATTTCTTTCTTTAACTATATATGAAGCCTGAGAAAAATTAATCCGCGTAAAACTCAACTCAACAGAATTTTTTTTTTAAATCGCTGTCAAGGATGCTGTGATAGTCAGAAAAATAATTTAACTACTACAAAAGAGTCCTAACTACTGAACTCTTAGTTACACATCACAGTTTAACCTTTAAGTTATGATTTTGTAAAAAATTGCCCATACTTTACTCCTTAATAATGGGCGGTATGGCGACATCTTAAGTGCGATTGAAATAATTTTAATTCAAACTAATCTCCAAAGTCACGATTATCATACACTAAGTGTTTTTTTTGTACTTGAATAGTATCTAATGCCGTATTTATATTATCATATTCATGTAAAACAAATATAGCATACTTTAAGCTAAACTTTTATAAGAGTAGTAATATTCCAAGGTATAAGATATCCTATAAATCCTATTTTTTTATAAAAAAATCATTTTATCTATACATACTCATAATGTGCCAAGAAAAACGATAAACAATCCTACACAACCGGACATAAAATAATATGGCCGTTATTATAATGGTATTTCACAGTTTCACTTTTTTTGTTTTACCTACAGATTTATAAAAATAAAAAATATACTTTCTTTGTGTGATGGCACACGTTTTTATTTTGTTTTGAGTTTAAAAAAACTTATTATTAAGGCCCCTGGATACCGACCATTCTTAAGGAGTTTTGTATAGGCAATATTTAAGAAAAAAGTGGTTTTATTAAATTTCGACCATGTTAATTAATTTACCGGTTAATTTATATGAGCTTTATGGTATTACTTTTAATTTAAATAATTTTGTCTATGAGTAAAAGCCATTTTAGTTAATATAATAGTACATTTTTTGTCCATCGCACAGGCTGAACCAGTAATCCGATAATTAATCTGAAAACAGATTTGAATTTGTCATGAAGTTTACTTGAGATAGGTCAGCGTCCTTTTTTGATATCTTATTCCTACTATACATAAAACACGTTTGAACATTTTATTAAATTTTAAATTTTAAAACTAAATTTGGAAAGGGTTAAGTATAAAAATTGAAAAAAGTGCTCTGACCGATCTCAAGTAAACTTCATGACAAATTCATATCTGTTTTTAGATTGCTTGTCGGATCAATGGTTCACTCTGTGCGATTATTAATGCATATTAATTAATCGTTGTTATGGAGTTTTTATAAGTTAAACTTTTATAATTGTAGTAATAATCCAGGTTACTTGATCAATAGTTTTCACCACGTTGTCTTACTTTGTCTTAATGCAACGCAGTCGACACCAGTATAATTCGTATTATATCCAATAATATAAACAACGAGGTCATTGCTTTCTGCGAATGCTGCATTTTTGATTGAACTGTCTTCATCGGTGATTATTGTCGAATAATTTCTAATCGAGCATTAAGCAAATTTTTAACAAAAAAATCATTAAACCAATAAATCGGAGATTATTTGTGTTTGCTAATTACAACAATAAACAAACATAAGACGTTAGGCAAGGCAGGCACGTGTAAATTTCCCTTAAATTAAAGGGGCCTACGTCTTCAATTACACGCTCTTGCTAACATATTTGTCAGCATCATCATTGATACGGTAATCGGGTACTTACTTGGTGTACAAAAAGAATGTCAAATGGCTTGTGTTTGTTTGTGTTGGGTTGCATGCTGGATATTGGGCCAACGAGCCAATACTTATTAACGGCAACAACGCAAAATATCTTAAAACGATTGTGGCCATCGTGCAATAAACTCACTAGACGATAGTCAGAATACACTGTGAGACACGACGAGATACAGTGCACACACATTCTACTTTAACTTCTCCCTTCCACGAGAGCGATAAGGATCGTCTGCTAATTACAAGTCGGTACTTACCGTTCAAGTGATCAATACCGTCGCTCTGATAAGAGGTAAAATATAGGTAATAAATATGGTAATAAATTGTGTCGACAATTTGATTTTAAAATATGAAAGGATTCGATCGTTAATGAAAATTAAGTTTTTCTAGTAACATAAGTTATTTTTCTCTGAGCAAAGTGGCGACAGTTTTTATATGAAAGGGACTTTCGTAGTAGCCACAGTGTGGCGTTTCGACGACTGGATGGATGTTTTGTTTGTTAAAGTTTAATACTTTCTCCATAGAGGCTAACAAGTCGATTTTTTATTTGGATATTATATAATTTATAGATTTATTAGGTAAACTGTAAAAATAATAGATAATATGAACACTTAAAACGCAATTTTCAAAACAAAAATAAAAAAACGGCTCTTTTAGCCGCCAATTATTAAAGACACGTTAAGGGGATTGAACACGGTCAGTTTTTTGACGTTTTAGACCAAAAATCTAAACAACATTTTGCCTACTTAAGATTGTCCGATTTCAATTCTGTAAAGATACTCCGAGTTCTCTGGCAGCTTTTCTAGGTTTTGTAAGAAGCAGATTTTTTAATTTTTGCTTATTTTATGTCAAAAAAATCGGGTTTTAATATTGAAAAATTAAAGTAACTGAAATGCTTAAATGAAAATTGGCTAACTACATATGATAGTAAAAGAACTCGAATCTCTTTACGGAATGGAAATTGTACCGTTGTAGCTCATATTTTGACAGGCTTTTTGGTCTAAAATTTTTTTTTTTTGGTCTGGTTTTTACTTATAGAAAACACGATTTAAATGAAAAATAGTACCTCGAAGCTTATAAAAATTAATCGGCGCGGTCGAAATGTATTAAAAACTTTTTTTCTGAAATATTACCTATACAAAACTCCTTAAAACCAGACCGCACGCAATCTTCTTAATCACATTTTCTAACAACCTTTGACTGATTACACGAATGCAACTAGTTTACTATTTAAGCGATTTTAATTTTAAAATATGTAAAAATGTGTATTTCACCACTCAAATTTTACGGCGCTTTTTATTATCTCGTCGTCGTGTTAAACATGAGTGAATGATTGGTTGCCGAGTATTAAGGGACAATAATTTACAACTTACATTAAGTGCACTGTGAAGAATGTCGTACATGGTCATAGCATAACTACATATGTATATCTATCACAAATCATCAGCATCGGCATTGAGTATATATTGTACAATATATTGTACACACAAAGGTAGCAGGTATGAATGAAAAAATCACTTTAAAAAAAAAACCGAGCTCAGTCCGCGCAACTCTTCGTCGACAATTGACGATCGGTTGCAAGTAATACAAGTAATTTTGTTAACAACGTGCACGATGAATCCGTGGCGGCATCTGTACGGAACCGGTCGAACTCACGACGACTCGGGTATACCGCGGTAACACGACCCAACCGTACACGTCCTAACCCGGTATACCGCAGTCGTCGGCTGGCGGCGATATCGCGGCCCGGTCGATCAGCTGACGGCGGCCGCCTCGTGATAACGGACGCCGCGGTTCACGCCCACACACATTACCACTACGTTAGCGGCGGCGACGGCGAGGGCCAAGTGGGGAAACCGTTGGTGTCGGAGGGTCGTGTGCACACCGCCGCCGCCTTGTCAGTAGCAGTCGATTACGTGCGCTCGTGCAGTGTTTGTGTGTCGTCGACCACGATATCTGTGTTTGTGTTTGTTGTAGCGATTGTGTGTTTATACAAATTCTACCGTGCGCACATCGAAATCGTTAATCGGTTAAAGCGAGCGGTTAAACGCACACGCGTTGCATTACTATTATCGGTCGGCGTGCATCCGTCGCGGATATCATTTTTTGATAATATTCCCTAGGTACGCCGTACTTGTGTGTATGTGTTTTGCGCACGCGTGTGCCGTCCGCCTTCGGTTCGTACTTGAAATATACCGTACACCGCACGAGTTTTCAACACTGTGGGCGCAAGCCGCAGTCAAAACATTAGTTTCGTTTTAACACCTTTTTTTTTTTTTGTTTTTTTGGACTTGCACACATGGGTTTTTTTTAAATACACGTACCGCGTCGCCGTCATGCCGGTCGATCCGTCGCCAGTCTCGACGGTCACAGCCGCCGCCGCCGCCATCCACTAGAGTCACCGCAGTGTGATATCGTCACACAGGCGAGCAGCTGCTGTCTCTGCTATTTTTTTTTTTCCGATTTTATTTGATCGGCCGTAATCGCGGCATACCGCACACGTTAACGATATTATTATAATAATAACAGTAGTGCCGGTAGTAAAGTTTTTTTCCTCGTCGTCCCCGGTTCGGTAATTCGATTTTTTATCACTGATAACACCACGCCGCATAATGTCGGCCGACGGCGACGATAGTAATCACAGTTGCTATTGTTGTTATCACCATTGCCGTGTTTCGGGTCCGAAGTGAAAACAACACGGACGCGGTGCGCGCCCCGACGGATCCACCGATGCCGGCCAGTGGCCGCGGGCCGGCGGACGCCACGACCGTGGCCGCCGCAGCCGCCGTTGTGGCTGCGGCCGCCAAAAAGACGCCCGAGAGCGGCGACGAGTCCGAAGAAGAGAGCGAAATCCTCGAGGAGAGTCCGTGCGGCCGTTGGCTGAAAAGGCGCGAAGTCGTAAGTACCCCCCTAAGCCTTATTAATATATACAACCGTAGACAAACACTGATAAGAGCCCGAACGTAGTGATAACGCACAAACGGACATAGTCAACAAGTAAACCCGACCCGACCCGACCCGAACGAGGGTTGGCCGCGTTGACGGCAGTGTTGGATTTGATTTTCCAAATACTTAAATTTAAAAAAAAAATTACTATCGGGGTCTACATCCGAGTATGTTATAGTCGGAGAGCTAAATCTATCATTATCCCGACACTCGGGAAATCAAATAATTCTCAAAAAAACGGTCAAATAAAGCATTACTTGCCTTCACCCATAACTTGAAATGTAACAATATACTCGTTGAACTCGTTAATACTGAAGTATTGTCAATATTATGTAATATTTGTACAAATAATGCATATTAAGTAACTACAAAAAATGGTGATTAGGTGAAATTTTTTTTTGGTTTTATCAAAGAATGTTATCTAATTTAATGCTTTCAAATTTCTCATTTGAACGTGTTTTTAAAACTATTTGATTACCGTATCTGATATAATTATCGCACGTTTCACATTTATTATAAAAAATATCATCATCGAGTTATTGTTAAAAACGTGTATTCATCGATAGTAAAATAAGAATAACAACAGGTTAGCAACGGATAGAAAAGCGAAAAATGTCTTTGCTCATTTATCCTGTTTCTTTGGAACTCTTTTTGGACCCTAGGTGCAGAAAAATGTCTAGTAGCGTGCGACAGCAATGAATAAATATTGACAACGCTAGTTTTTCGATGGTATAAAGTGTCCAAGTGATAAAAATAACTATTTTAATTATTTTGAAAAACCTGTCAAGTCTAATATATTCAACCTATGTTATCTAGGTAGATAACAGGTAGGTCTAGATGTTTTGAGTAGATTTGTTACAGCAGTTAGTGAATAGGAATGGACGTAGTGATTATGCAACAGCTTGTTAAAAAATAAAAATAAATAACGAAATTACTAAATCCTAAAACTAGTGATTTAATATTAAAAATATTTGTCAACAAAATATATGGAATCACAAACTTGATTTTTGTTCAATTTCTATCGTTTGATTTATATGTGAACCTGTAACACTTATATATACAAATAAAATATTTGCTCTTATTCCTGTTTTTTTTGTTTTTTACTTAACAAGTTAGCATGCACTGCGTCCCGATGAATCACGTGATTCATTAAAACTACCCTATCGACCAGCCACTGAATATATTTATGTTAATAAGTACCTACTGCGCTTGTTCGACAAGCGATTAATACTGATTGCATGTTTAAAATCGTTAATCTGGATTGAAATTTGTTTGGGGGTAAAAAATAAATACCGGTTAGCGCAGTAAATTTTGATACTTGCGCCATATTTTATTTTGTAAGACTTGTCGAGTTTCATTTTCCTGTTTATACATTTTTCGCCGACGTATTACGCCGCCGATCAAAATCTAAAATGATAAAATAAAACGCGCAAATAAAAAACACGATATTGAATTTTCTATTATTTTCATTACCGGGAAGATAGGTTGAATTGTCGGCTGGTTTATTTTTTTATTAGACGGTCGATGCCTATCATTAGTTTTATGTATTGTCATACGATTTTCCATGTAAATACCGGTTGAGGACGAAATAAATAACGAGAAGACCGACGCGCCCACCGAGTTCCTAATCCGTACCGGAAACCACTGGCATGCATATAATAATTTAACATGTAATGTAGAGCTGCTGTATTGTGTAGGTGTTAAACGTTAAGGATTTTTTTATTTTAGGTTGTTAATCCGAGTAGATAAATACTTGAAAACATTTCAGTTTGGACAACATGTGTTGTGCTGATGCTAAGTAGAAAAATAATACCAGGAAACTTAGAAAAAAAACGAAGGTTCTCTATTGCACCCACACAGCAGTATTATATAGTTGATAAAAATGCTTATAAAATATAATTATGTATATTTCATTGAAAATATAATATTTCATACTATCACAATAATTGCCACTATATTAAATTTAAAAAAAAAATATATATATATAATATAATATAATAATAAAATTAAAAAAATGTTACCTACCTACAAAAAAAATTATGTACCTACAGGATGATCCATTTAACGTGAGATACTCGTTTTCTCAGAAAATAATTACAATTTTGTAGTTTTTCTTTTTGAAGACATTTTAACTTATGTAACTTTAAATTTAATTTTTATCATTTTTAGTAAATTCTAGAGTTCTATCAACTTTTGAAAATGTAAAGGGAACGTATATATTTTATTAATTTACTAAAAACATTTTAGCTGATCGATAATTGTGTCCATTGTAAAAGTGAATTATACTACTAGAACAATTTTGTGATTTTCAAACCTCGTTGCTGACCGTTGTAGGCTACAAAATTTAAATTACGATTTTTTTCATCGACGACTAGTTAAATTGCTCTAACCAAGCATAATGATAACAACGTTATCACCGCCGCCCCAGGTCAAACCGACAAGACTGCGGACTTCACAGTTTTAAAATATTATTACTATTTGCCTGTGCAGAATATTATACATTTTACTGTCATTGCCATTTCGTTTTTATACTGTGGCTTGTGTAATATATCATCATATGATGTTAAAAACGCCGACTGCGCATTTATTTGGGAAAACCGTTGTCCTTGACCCAGCGTGAACTAGAGACGAATATAAATGCTTAATAATGTATTATATTGTAATATATTATTAAGCGTTTGCCCAATGATAATTAATAAGTAATAGCGTATCACATAAGTTTGCATCGTGTTGAAATTTTTACCTTTGTTGTCTATAAAGGCTTATGACGTGTAAAAACCTACACGACACACGACATCTGCGTGTCTGGTTCAATAATTATTATGAATTTACAAATATAAACTTATAAAAAATAAAAATAAATACACGAATATTCAATTAATTTCATATTGCTAATGGATAAAACTGAATTGTTATAATATTTATGTTACAACAGTTATTATTGTACCGCTACTTGATCGCGTGGAACTCGACTCTCGAGTATCATCCCAATAAGTGAACGTGTCTTACATACAAGTATATAATAGACTAAAACCAGAAATGTATGCTTAACTCTAGTGGAACTGTGTATCAAACCAGGATTATTACTTTTCAGAGTTTTTCAGTTAAATTAACACAAACTTTTACTTATTTGACGATCAAGGTGATGGCAACACTTTTCACCCTACGCATAGTAAACGCATGTTTTTCTATTTATAGTGAAAAAACGAAACTGAAATTAAATCCATTTGACCTCTAGTTTATTGCACGGTTATCAGAAAATTTGACATTACACAAATAACCAACACGTTTTTTTTTTAATATACGGCGTGTGTTGTTATTTATTCGGTTTGGTATAATTATTGTGGCTTAATAACCTCGGTAAATTGTTGTCGACAGGTAAAATCGAACTGCTCAAAAAAATTTTTGGAACGGTAAAAAACAGCTAATAAGGATTATTAGATGGTTAGTCCAGAGCAAACCGCAGCCGATAACTAATCGTTTTGCGCACAACGTAGATTTATTGTACATCAATGTCGAGTCTACAGTTCAAAGAGGCGACCTCCGTGGTTTTATGTATTTTATTAGACATTATTTCAGATATTAGTTTGTTTGATTACGGTTTGAAAGGTCAAAACCGCCTTTATCTACTACCTACTTTTCGTTTTAGACTTGGGACACCGATAAGTCTTCGATTCCGATAACTGCCACTGTGAACGGCGTTTCTTAAAAATGATTATTGTGCACACCGTTTTGACCCATTTAGTCCTACACCTTACCAGACATACAGGGTGATCGCAAAGCCGGTGTACATCATGATGATTTTGTAGAGACTAACAGCTGATCGTTATAATTGAATTCCTTCAAACGTGTTTCACTTGGAGGTTCCACTCGACAAGACTATTATCATAATTTTAAGGCGATAAGGCCAACTAGTCGATTCGAGAAAGTCATTCTGGTAAACGTTTTTTTTTTTTTTTTAACACGGGTTTTTTTTTTTTTAGAATCCGGTACGTGTCAAACTGCATCAAAGATAATGTGTGCGCTTGGTGACATTTCCTTTTTTTTTTTTATGCAATCGTATGCGTTCTCCGTTAAAACCGTTTTGAGTAGAATTCGTTCTAGTTTATGTAAACACATACGGTCGATGGCCCAAAACTACAATCGCATAAACATGTAGGTACTCAATGTAAAACAGATTTTTGAGAAAATTGTATATGTTATAACCCCACTCTAGATCTACCTCCAGTATAATTTTCAGACCTTAAGCCTTAAACCCGTCTAAAAAATAGAAATAAAGAAAAAGTTTTGATTTTTTTTTGGCTTGTGATCGTTTATCGATAGTACTAGGTATGTCTAAAGAATTTCCCATAAAAATTAGAAACAAATTCGACTATTAATTAATTTACAAAGTCATAGCGTGCCCTAGTTTTAATTTGAAAATATGAACATTTTGTGGGTGTTTTTCTCGATTTTGAAGAGGGATACATTTTTTTAATTTTCGACCCAATAAAAAGTACATTTTATGTACTGTTTCCGCTATGTGGACTTGTTACATGAAGAAATCGGTTAAGTGGCTTAAAAAATATTGGAAGTCCAGGCAGAAAAAAATGAAAATAAAAACAGCTCCGCGTCGAAGGTAAAAAAAAAAAAAAAAATACAGGTAATTAGCTCGTTTTGTTTGTCTACCGTTTGTAATAACTATTGGGAAACTATCATAACTATTATTCTTTGTTATAAATAAAAAAACACAACTCGTTTAGACTTATCGATGCATTACAGATACATTGGACTATAATGTCCAATATAAAATAGTAAGTAGGTCGTGAGTCAGCCGTCGTTTGTTTTCTTTCTTGTTAAATTTTATCGAAAAACAAACGGAATTCCGAATAAAATAACTGGGTTTTTTTTTTTTTTTTTTATGAAGCTCTCCGAAATACTTATACAGAAAATGCGTGAATTTTTGGCTAATG